GGAGGTGGGCCCTGCCCGCCCGCCCCCCTGCCCCAGCCCCCCCCCTCCGGCCCACCCCCACCTCACCTTGTAGTCTGGCAGCTTGGCCATGGCCGGCCACTGCTCCTCGGTGGGGGTTCCCAGCAGCGTGGGGACGGCAATGGTCAAGGGCCACCACTGTGGCCAGTGCAGGAGTCACCCGTCACCCAGCCCACCCCCACCTAACCCAGGCAGAGGCCCCTCCCGCTCCCTTGCCCAGGAGAGAAGGGTGGCCCCCCTCCCGCCACAGCTTCCACGCGGCACTGGAAGGATATCGGAAAATCCTTTTCAGCTGGTCGTCCACATCGTTCCCTGGAAACAGGGGCCGCCCCGCGTTGGCCAGCTCTAGAGAATAGAGAAGAGATGTGCCCTGCGGTCCTGTGGCCCTGCCAGCCACAGCCCCCTGTGCCGGCAGCCCCCTGTGCCAGCACTACCTGCAAAGATGCAGCCAGCTGACCACATATCGATGGAGGTGGAGTACAGCTTGGCGCCGAAGAGCACGTCTGGGGGCCGATACCACAGTGTGACGACCTTCGTGGAGGGATGGGGGAGATGCTCAGCTGGCCGGGGGACAGGACGGCTGAGCCCCCGTCCAGGAGAAGGCTTCCAGCGAAAGCACAGATCTCCCAGCTCACCTCTGCTGAGTAACAGCGCACGGGGATGCCAAAGGCCCGGGCCAGGCCAAAGTCGGCCAGTTTGAGTTCCCCGTTCTACAGTGAAAGCACCGCATCAGCAGGACAACGCAGGGGATGCCCCGTCCTGCTGCCCGCCCCACGCCTCGGGGCCGACAGCAGCCGCTGCTCCGGACCCTTCGCCCTCTCCCATTGACCAGAAAAACAAGGGAGAGACAGAGCGGCAAGCTGGGGACAGCCAGCCGCCGGCTCCCCAGCATAACCACCCCATCCGGGCTCAGTTGGGGCAACTCACGCCAGCACACAGCCCCGGCTTTCGCCCACTCCCTGGCCCTCACCCTGTTGATGAGGAGGTTCTGGGGTTTAAGGTCTCGGTGCAAGACGTTGCGGCTGTGGCAGAAGGCGAGGCCCTTCAGCAGCTGGTACATGAACGACTACGGGAAAGAGCACGGGCCCGATGTGTGCGATGCATCAGCCCCTTGACGCCACGGTCTGCTTCTTGTGACGGCCCGCGATGCCGCAGCCAGGGCAGGACGAGCGCCATGTCCCCGAGGGCTTCCAGAGCCCCCCCAAACGCACCTTGACGATCTCTGGGTCCAAGTCCCCGTTGCAGCTATCGAAGTACTTCTTCAGGTCCTGGGAAGAAGCAAGCGGGGGCCGTGTCAGGTGCCGGGACCTGTGACCCCATCCCCGGCACTGCCCCGGCACCAGTCCCAGCAACTCGCCTGGTCGCAGAACTCGAAGACCAGGGTCAGCTTCTTGTCGCTGTGCAGGACGTCGTGGAGCCTGCGAGGGGAAGGGGGGACCCTGAGGCCCCCGCACGGCCCGGCCGAGCCCATGGAGCGAGACCAGCCCCGGAGAGGGGGATGGGGCTCCCCCCGGCCCCGGGGGCGCCCGAGGAGGGGGGCAGCCGCCCCCTGCCCCCCCCAGCCTCGCAGCCCACCCCCCCAGCCCCTTGCCTGACGATGTTCTTGTGCTTCAGCTCCTTGAGCAGGCAGATCTCCCGCAGAGCGGAGCTGGGCACACCCTGCCGAGAGAGGGGAGCGCTCGGGGGGGCTCGGGGTGGGGGGGC